GGGGGAGGGGGAGGGGCGGGCCGGCTGGACACTCATCTTCTTCTTCTGCTGGTTGAAGTTGTCTATGATGACGCCGATGAAGAGGTTGAGGGTGAAGAAGGACCCGAAGATGATGAAGATAACGAAGTAGAGGTACATGTAGAGGTTCACCTCGTATGTCGGCTGCTCCTCTACCTGTGGGGCCACGGCACAGGGTGGACAGGGCAGGCCGAGGCCCGGAGGTGGACCCCTCTCACCCTCAGGGTCCTCAGCCCCAGGGGCGGGGGCCGGATGCACCCCTCTGTCTTCCCGGCCCCTCTCCCTGTGCTTCGGCAGGGAGCTCCATGCTCACCTCTCGGGAGTCCACAGCTGCGTACATAATGTCCATCCAGCCTTTGAAGGTGGCCTGAGATGGGGAGTCGGGGTGAGAGGGGGCGCGGGCCTCTCCCTGCTTCCATCACCCGTGAGCATCCCTCCCCTCTTCAGCCACCCCTCCTGCCCCCGCCCTTGGACCGCAGAGCCTCAGGGACAGCGTTGGCGACCCTGAACGAGGAGCAGCAGTGGCCCAGGGGCCATGAGGGCCTGGGCGGGCACTTACCACCTGCAGGAGGGAGAGGTAGCCGAGGCCCACGTTGTCGTAGTTGACCTTGACGTTGAGCCAGCGGACCTGGCCCGTGTGCATCAGGCTCTCGCACTCGGACTTGTTGTTGACCTCGGAGATCTCGAAGCGCACCGAGGTGGTGGTGTTGATGCAGTAGTAGAACTTGCCGGCAAACAGGTTGACCCCCATGATGCTGAAGATGAGCCAGAAGATGAGGCAGACCAGGAGGACGTTCATGATGGACGGGATGGCCCCCAGGAGAGCGTTCACCACCACCTGGGGGCGGGGGCTGTCACCAACAGGCCCTGGTCTCTGAGGAATGCTCCCTACCTATACCATCACCAGGGGCCAGGGCTGGGCCGGGCTGGGAATTGGGGTGGGCTTCTTGGTGGAGGGGCAGTCTGAGCCAGAGCCAAGGGGGAGAGGTTGCGTGTGTGTGTGTGTGTGGTGTATGTGTGTATGTGGTGTGTGTGTGTGTGTGTGTGTGTGTGTGTGTGTGTGTGTGTGGTTGGAGAGCTGCTCTGCTTGGCTGGAGGTTTCTCTAGAAGTGGCTCGCCACGCGTCACCAGGCAGGAGACAAACACTCCTTCCTCAGCCCCCATAGGAAACTTGGCCCACGTGACCCCAGCCCCTTGCTCAACTGCTCACAAGCAACCAGCCACAGGGCTCTTGGAAAACAGCAGTGCCCCTGGGATGGAGCCCCAGTCCTCCCCCACCCCTGACCAAGCCTGCCTGGGTGCACGGGGCCAACCCCAACTATTTTGGGCCAGGCCGAAGCTGAGACGGGTCCATTGGGAAGTAGAAGCTGCGGGTAAACTCCAGACGGAGTGGGTGGCACTGCGGGAGGCAGGGGTGTGTGCCCTGGGGGGGTTCAGTTTCAGGCTGCGGCATGCACCAGGTGTGTGACTGAGGGCGGGCTACTTCCCCTCTGCTGGGAGACACCCTGGCTTAGGGTCAGAGGCTGGGCTCTTTGAAGGAACCGGAGGGGTCTCGTGGCTACAGCCTAAAGCTGGCCACCACCAGCTGTCTTCCCCGCTTTGTCCCCCAGGCTGGACCGTTCCCAGCAGTCCTCCCCTGGGAAGCCCCTTTGCCTCCCTCCGAGCCCCCCCACTCCCCGCCACCACCACCCCTGTTCACCTGTCACTTCTACTCTTGGGGGCCTGAGGGATCCTCTCTGACCTCAGGGTGACCCAAGCTCATGGAGGCGGGCGGGCTCAGAGCCCTGGGGACCCAGCCTAAGATTGGGGCAGGATACCCATATGGCCACTGGCATCACCGAGAACCCACAGATCTGTTCTCCTTCCTCCTCCTCCTGCCCCGGTGCCTCTGAGGGCCCCATCCCCAGTGGTGGAGCTCAACACTCAGGACCCGCTGGACAGGGCATCTGGGAGCAGGAACTGGGGGATGGGGGGGGGCATGCAGGGAAGTAGGATGTCTTCCCCCACAGAGCTGGCCTCTGCTTCCCCCTAGCTGTGGCCAGAGTACAGACATGGGGGGACCCCCACCCCGTCTCACTCAGCACCCACCCTCATGCCCTCGAATCGGGACAGTGCCCGCAGGGGGCGCAGGGCCCGCAGTGTCCGCAGGGATTTGATGGGTCCTAGTTCCGAGTAGCCCATCCAGTTGGCCACCAGGCTGATGATGGACACCTGTGAAGGGGGACATCCATGAGGGAGGGCCTCCGCCCCCCC